CCCCCCCCCCAAAAAACCCCAACCAACCACAAACCCAGAAACCAGGCAGGGAAGCTCTCTGGGAAGCCTGTAAATGGCATTTGGGGGGCCTCGGATGCTGCAATGATTGTCAATACGTGCCAGTTCCCAAGCACCCCAAATTTTGATCCTGGGGACCCTGCAACAGTCGTAAGTCACTTTTTCACTTTGAACAGTCGTTAAATGAATGGCCTTAAGTCGAGGATGACCTGTGGCTCCTCTTAGTTCAAATGTGTTGTGCAATCTAAGCGCGTTACGTAGAGAGAAAGGACGGGATGGATGGAGGGAAGGTTTAATGGTTTCTACAGGAAGCTAACTGAATAGTTTCCGTACTACTAAAATAGGAGACTGGCTTCTCTCTCTCTGTTACTGCTGCAACTTCTTGTTGTGTCTTCGGAGCATCCTTCCGTACGCCTTCGTTACAAGGCGCAGGTCTGCAGCTTCCTTCGAGGGGTCGGCGTCCAGCTTCTTCAATTCCGTCTCCACGTTGCTCAAGATTTTGCTGATCTTCCCCAGCACGGAAGGCCTCACCAGGTGATCCCTGGTTCCGTGTCGCTGAAGGACCCAAAGGGCACCGGCCTCCTTCAGCTGCCAAAAGACAACACGGGTTGAGAGAGAGCTGAAGTATTGGGGGCCGGGGGGGGGGGCACGAATTGTATCGTTACAGCATCATTAATCCTGAATGTTAACACCAATCCTCCTTCCTTCCTTCATGCTTTTGCTTAATCAATACGTATGCCGCCTTTCCAGCCTCAGAGCTGCCTGCTAACCGACTGGTTTATCTTTTTTTTTGCAACTCGGTTTTTCACACTGACCAAACGAAAGTCTTCCTTTTCAAAACAATTTGGAGCCCATTGAGAGCTAAGAATCTGCTGCTGTGACATTTCCAAGAGCCAGGTGAATTTTTAATAGTGAAATACAAAAAAACCGCAACATACATACGCAAAATTCAACATAAAGTAAGGAAAGAAAAGCTAAATGTGATTGTAGTGATTAAAAGTAGAGTGAGAAGAAGAAAAACACAGACCCAGAAAATAACAAAATAAATGATTTTCATCCCAGAATTTTTTTAAAAAGTTTATGCTATAGACCAGTGTTTCTCAACCTTGGCAACTTGAAGATGTCCGGACTTCAACTCCCAGAATTCCCCAGCCAGCGAATGCTGTTCAATGGTCACTAAGTGAACCAGTGTTTCTCAACCTTGGCAACTTGAAGACGTCCGGACTCCAACTCCCAGAATTCCCCAGCCAGCGAATGCTGGCTGGGGAATTCTGGGAGTTGAAGTCCGGACATCTTCAAGTTGCCAAGGTTGAGAAACACTGCTTCACTTAGTGACCATTGAACAGCATTCGCTGGCTGGGGAATTCTGGGAGTTGAAGTCCGGACATCTTCAAGTTGCCAAGGTTGAGAAACACTG